GAAACTTTCCAATGTGTCTTTTTATGTTTTCATATTTTTTAATCATACGCTGCCTGTTATAAACATCATGGAGTTTTGTGGGCGATAAAACCACTCTTACATTCTTATCCCAATGCCTGGGCCTAGGTGCTCTGAGGCTCTCTTTAGTGAGGTCATTGTTTTTGTAGTGTTGAAACAAAGTTGCTTATTTGAAGTTAAGAGTTTCCTGTTTAGCGAGAAGACAGAAAATAGCAAGATGTACCCAGAGTGCTCTGGGAAGGCTGAGGATAGGTAGGAGCCAGGGTTGTGCTTATTTTGGGAAAAGGGTGTAGGACAGGGGGTGCTCCCAGAGATACGTTGGCCCTTGCATTATCAACATCGGCTCCCTTGAATGTGCATCCCCCCCTCCCCCACCAGGGGAATCATCAGTTGCCTGCTTCTAAAATTCATTTTTGGGGGTCTTCTTTGTCTCATGTCACCTGTGTCCTGGACTTGTCTTCCCAGTGATTTCATTCTGTCTTGGTTACCTTTATAAATACAAGGTACATACATGATTCTCCCTTGGTACATGCGAAGGTATTAGCAACTTTCTTTGGTGGCCTGGATGGGAAAGTACTCAGAGTGCCGGTTTGTTCTGTGGTCCCTGGCAAATGCCTTGACCCCAGGGAAGTGAGAAAGTGGTTCTACTCAAACAGACTTGGTCCTCTGAAAGGGAATGGTGGCCCTTCCTGTTGTGAGCAGAGCCTCCAGGTGTCTACCTTAGGCTGAGGGCATTGTGAGAGTTATGCTTGATCAGCACTAGGGGGTGCCTGTGCTCACATCCAGCTTGAGCTCCTAACAAAAACAAGGAAAGGTCACACCACAACTTCCTTTGCTCCCGTCCATCCTTGGATCCTCCTTGGTGTCAGAGATGGGCTATTTCCTTGGCCTGCTCAAGCTGTCTGAACAGTACGTAGACTGGGGTGGGTGGGTTTCAAAGAATGAAATATGTTTCTGGGTTCTGAAGGCTAAGGTCAACGTGTTAGAAGAGCAAATAACCCTTGGCTTGTAGGAGGCTGCCATTTTGTGGGATGCTCATGTGACATCCCTTTTGTTATAGGATGAGGGAAAGACAGAGAAGGGGTGCCTGTTGTCTCTTACAAGGTCACTAATCATACTCGGGGGGGGGGGCATCTTCATGACCTTATCCAAACCCAACTTCCTTTAAGAGGCTTAGCCTCTGAGTACTATCACATTAGACGTCATGGCTTCACGAGTGACTCAACACTTCAGTTGAGTCTCTAACAGGTGGGATGGATGGCTGTCACTTTTGGGGTGAGGGCGGTTGCTGAGGTGAGTAATGTTGGACACGCCCCTCTGCAGTGTGAGGTTGCCACAAGCAGGTTCTCCCGTGTGCTGAAGATAGGTGGTGGTGTGTGTCTTGGGTTCAGGGGTGTCAGAGCTCTTGGTGCAGCATTCCAAGTATGCATTTGGACAGTCAGTCAAATATTGTCACGATCATTTGACTTAGGGTTACAGAGAGATAGGATAAACACCCTTTAAGATTTATTTCTTTCGTAAAGAAACTGACAGGCCAGGAAGAGATACTTAACAGCTTGGAGATCCTCAGGCTGTTGGGAGGCAAGTTGCAGTGGCCACTGTAATGACATTCATTTTCTCTTTGACTGGCCTTGGCTGACCCCCTTTGGGAAATCTTTCTGTTACTGTTTGCTTGCTGAGAACTGATAAGTTTAAGTATTGAATGTCCCAGCTGTCCACCCAGTTTGCGGTCCAGGCTCTTGGTCTATCCCTGGGTTCCAGGCAGAGGCCGCCAGGTATATAATTTTATATTTGTGTTTGAATGAGAATCCCCCCCCATGGCTCAGATATTCGAACATTAGGTCCACAGTTGGTGGCACTGTTTGGGAAGCTTTGGGACTGAAGTATGCAACTGGGGGTAGGCTTTAGATGCTTATAGTCCCACCCCACATCTAGTATACTCTCAACATACTCTCATTACCTCCTGCTTTGAAGATATAAACTCTCAGCTTCCTGCCCATTGTCGCATCTGCTGCTTGGTACCATGCTTCCCTTGTGTGACAGGCTTTGACCCTCTGTTAACCCTGTGGAACCATAAGGGCAATTAAACTCTCTCTTTTCTAGGTTGTCCTGGTCATGGTGTTTTATCACAGCAGCAGAGATGTGACTAATACTGTGTGTACTACAGTTTATATTATATGGTATTTACAGTAGCAGGGTATGAAGAGGCTGTATGCAAGCATTACCTGGGACTGCCAAGTATTCCAGGGATGTGATGGAATTAGCAGGTGTTGTGAGAAACCATTCCTGGGGAGACACTGCACAAATGTCTACACCCTAGATGGGGATCCCAAGACAGACCAAAGTACCGATACCACCGAAGTTCAACTTGGTGAGCTGTTGAGTTTGGGGTGGGGCTGGATTAACAGTAAATATGGGTTAGGGCTTACTGACAGGGGCAGAAATGGCCCCAAGACAGCTGTGTCACCAAAGCTCACCCCAGCATGGGTGACAGCTATAAACAAACCTGGGATGCTGCAGCATGCTCCACAGCCTTCAGGCAGCTCAACAGATTGGAGAGTGCCCTTTCTGGAGGCTCACTTAACCCATCCTTGCTTGCTCTGGCAGGGTTGGGGGGCGTGGCCTAGTGAGTCTGGTCAGTTTCAGGAACGTCCTGGAGCTGTTTTTGTTTTGAGTTGTTTACCTTCCTGTTTAAGGAGCGCCTCTGAAGGATGGGAATGTTTCGATCTAGAAGGAAGCTGTTACACAACAGCAGGTTTATGTCTACAAGGAGTTGTTGTTGTTGTTGCTTTGTATTTTCCTTACCCGGATTAAATGAAGTCGTAGCTCTTAGCCCAATATCATTTTTTTTTTAATACGGAGGCTCCAGGAGAGGTGCTCTTGCTACAGTTTAGGCAGGTTCTGGTGCCCAGGCCTGCTGGAGCCCGCGTCTTCATTTTAGTGGGTCTCTGAGAAGCAGTCCAGATAAGAGTAGGTTTGATCTGAACCATCTAGGCACTGAATGGGTTCCCATCCTTTCCTAAGGGAGACCAAAAGACAAGCTGGCTGTTAGCACTTCCCCGGAGAAGTGAGGAGACACTTCAGTTAGATTGTCTGCCCTCCAGCTCTGTGAGCCACAGTGGGAAGTAGTCTTCCTTCTCCCCACAAGTAGGGACCTAGGGGGTTCCTCTGTCCCAAGAGCTGAGGGAATAGCTGGAGGAGCCACACCCCCAGCCACATTGATATGGAACTTCTGTCCCTGGCGTCCAGGGGAAGGAATGTCAGTTATGGTGAATGGCAGGTTCCTTCCTCCAAACCACGCTGGCTGTGGTCTGTGGGGAAAAAAACCCCGATCCTCGTCTTTTTTTTTTTTTTTTGTAATATTGGCCCTTTATGCATAATTTACGTTGGGGAAAATGGAAGAAAAATCAAATGTTCTCGTTAAAAGAAAACGGGCAGTGGAGTGAGGTGACTCTGGGTGGAAAGGATGTCCTGGGAAGAGGATGGGGAGCAACGGGTGAGTGGCAGCATTGGATGAGGTATGGCCCATGGAGACAGGCAACAAGGGGATTGGGCGGGCTTTGGCTCTGGGGAGCTCCTGTCTAAAGGCGTGGTCTTAGAAGAGGATAGTGATCCGGGGGCCACTTCAAGCCAAGGGCCCAGCGTCTGGGCGGGGACCTTGACCAAGTTGGTGCAGCATTTACTTGGAGTGCCTGCACGGAGGAAGGTCTGTTCTAGGCTGTTGGGAATTAGTCTTGGGGAGCACCTTAGGTGGGGAATCTTTCTTTTCCGGCGTGCTGGCATAACCTCCCTGTGTGCTCAAAAGGTTCATTGTTGACTCAATTAAAAATCATCACGCTGGGGTGGGAAGGTGACTCAGTTGGTAAAATGCTTTCTTGCTGCTTTACTGAAGCCTGAGAGCCTGCGTTCAGATCCCCCAGCACTGTTGTAAAAGCTGGGTGCCACAGCCTGTGTCAGTAACCCTAGCCCAGGCACAGGTGGATCCCCAAAGTCACAGGCTAGCCAGGTTTATTGAGAGAGCTCTTTAGCAGTTGGAGAAGCCCCCCGGTGTTGCTGTCTGGCCCCCACACATGCGTTCCTCCTCAAGGGTACCCAAGGATTGGGTATATAACAGATACACACACAACGTTTTGTAAATAATAAGGAAGATCTGATCTGAAGGTGGCTAGAATCTTGATTCAGACATGAACTTAGCACAGCTTAGTCTTTGGCTGGAACTAGCAAATCTTAATTAAAGGTCAGGGGAGCCTGTGGCTCCCATGCAGGGTTCCCCAGCAGCATACTGGGGCTTCCTGACATGTTCCCTAGGGAGCTCATGGGAGCTGGGCCTTCCCTGCTGCCAGCATTGAAAAGGGACCCTGAGAACACTTGAGGCTTTGTAGCCCTGGGCTTGGAGGTCACACCACAGAGTGCCACTCCCATCCCTTTTTAACACCTTTGAGGAAGGTTAATGATTAATATGTCCCACTTCAGGAAGCTCCAGAACAAGCTGTAAAAGTAATTTGCAGTTCTCCCTTTCTCCATAGCTATGCTGAATGTGCTCTTTAATTGCCCTGTAATGGCTTTTTGTTTTGGAGACTTTTTTTGTTTTTACAAAAGTAGACAATCCTTTATTATCTATCGTGGAATACTGGGATTTTCTTTCTTTCTTTCTTTTAATGTTAAGAATCACTTAAGTATCACAAAGGGTTTGAAAAAAATGGCAGGGAACTTAGTTCTACTTAGGCTGTGAAATTTTCAACACAATGCTTTGATGTTTATAATTAATTAAGTTGCTCAAATGGGGTATATTTAAAGAGAAGTCAAGGCACCAAAATGCTCATCCTTAGATCACCCAACATTCTTTTGAGACAAGTTTCTGGAGGCCTGCCAGCCCTTTACTCCATAGTGTATACTCAACGGGAGGGAGGGTTGGAGTAGCTGCACTTTTTGCTCCCGTTATTTCCGAACAGTATGGAGTATGTTTATTTTTTTAACCTGTTTATTTTAGTACAATCTGGAGTCTAGCCACCCCGGTTGGGATTGTATGACCTCAAGGGGATTCCTCCTCTTTCCCTGAAACTCACACAGGTGGGAATGATCTCTGCTAGAGAGAAGTGAGCAGGTCATTCTAGAAGGACTGGAATGGTCACACCTCTCCTCTCTTCTTGTCCCCTGCCCTCGAGGCCACCAGTTTGATCTTAGTAATAACACATCTCTTCATCCACTGCAGACAGGCCCCTTTTGTGAGGGCAGTTTCCTAGCACAGTCCTGTTTTCGGAGGAAGCTTGGTTGACTCACAGCCCCGTAGAATTAGCTTTCAGTAAAGCTTGAGTGCCAGGGGCCTCGATGTAGATGTGGAAATGCGGAGTAAACCCTGTCACAGGGCATTAGCTTTTATCCCGTAGTTGGAATTTAAATTTATGGGTGTATTACAGCGGATTATTTTTCTTCACTAAGCAGGTGAGTTGGGAAAAGGCTGGCAGATGTTTTCAGATGAGATGGGAAAGAAAGGCCTGGGACCTGGGAAGGAGAAAGGAAACAGGTATCAAAGGCAGACGAAGTAAAGCATTATCCAGTCAGCGTAGCAGCCAGAGCTCTCCCTGCACTTACCTACCGTGCACATTAGAAAGATGCTCTCTGCCACTCACATAATCTGGAGCCACAGCAAGAGTTCAAGTCAACGGAGAAAGGCTTACCTCCACGCCTTAAATGACAAGGTGTAGCAGATGTGTATAACCTTAAAACAGACGTCGTAGAGGTGCCTGCGACTCGGCTAAGTATGCAGCCATAGGGTCATTCAAGGCGCGAATAAGCTGATGCTCGTGGAGTTTGACTTACTTCATGTCACAGAGCTGGTGAACATCCTGGGGCTGGAAATGTAGGCTGCCAGTTAGACCTTGCTGACCCTTGAAGGAGTCAGCGCGCACCTCCTGGGCTTGGTGGGTACCTTCCCAAGGGTCCCCCTGCCCTTGCCTGAGCTCACACCTGCTGTAACAATCAGCCTTCAGCTCAACTGTTAAATGTGTTACCTCCCTGCCAGAAAGTTTCTGTGTTCTCGTTCAGTGAATCTTAAGTGTACATGTGGGTATTTTTTTTAAAACAGAAAATAAAGTTCTAATAGTCCTGCACATCACCGTGAAGTCCTTGTTGATTTATAATCTACTGTGGTCCTAAACATTGGCAGCTTCCTCTCCAGTTTTCTGGGCTCCAGACACACAGTGGATGTTCTGTCCAGCCAGAGACAGTCTGTATTCCTTTTTACTTTTACTGAGTGGAGAGTGAGAGAGAAAGAGAGAGAGAGAGACAGAGAGACAGAGAAAGACAGAGAGACAGAGAAAGACAGACAGAGAGACAGAGACAGAGATTGATTGATTGAGGGAGAGATGACTGAGATCGTACCTGGCAGAAACTTTTTAGGATTAAAGGTTTTTTTGGCTCATACTTTCAGAGAGATCCCATTGCATCGTGGCAGCAAAGGCGGGGCAGCATGCGGGGCAGTTGGAGCGTGTGCTGCAGCCTCCTCGAGTCTCAGTGAACCCAAAAGCAGAGCTCTGGGGAAGAAATGCTCAGAGCATAAGCCTGTAGACAGTTCTCTCTCTCCATCCCTCTCCCTCATCTTGTCCCTTTCCCTGTCTCTCTATCCCTCCCCCTTTTTGTGCACATGCATGCGTGTGTGTGTGTGTGTGTGTGTGTGTCTGTCTGTCTGTCTGTCTGTCTGTCTGTCTATGTCTGTGCACAGGCACCCAGTATCCTTAGTGAAGAACGAAGGCACGAAGGTTCTGGTCTGTTTATATGAATGGCACCTGTCTAATGGTCCCTCAGTAAATATTTCTGAACTAGAGACAAGCTTGTTTATACCAAAAGCTTTCACCTGCACTTTGAGAGGAACTAGAGGTCAACAGAGAAAGGACGTCGTATACACTGGTGTCCTGATTGTAGCCCTTCCAGCAGCTTCTGAGAGGTGGATTTGCCTCCGTGCTAGACGGCCATCTCACCCAGCAGAGTGAGAATGTGGGATCGTGTCTTCACTGTGACCTCGCACCAAAGTTAGTCTCCGTTTCCGTAGCTCCGAGGTGGGCGTGTGCTGTTCTACTGTCAGCATTGCCTTGAGTGTAACGTCGGGAGCTACATGTGAGGCGTTGGGGGGTGGGGTGGACGGCAGGTGAGTGTGCTGCCCGGATGGTGAGGTGTTGTCAGGGATCCCTGGGATCAGGGACTCCACTTCAGGCTTCAGACAGATGATGAAGTCTCCAGTCTCCAGAATGTACAGATGGGTGAGAGTGATGACTCCCTTCAGTGAACATCTTGGCCCGGCACAGAGAGAAGCCATAGTAAGTTCCTCCAATAAGGCCACACCTATTTTTTAACGGTTTTTTTTTCAAGGCAGGGTTTCCCTGTGTAGTCTCGGCTACCAGGCAGCTCACTCTGTAGACCAGGCTGGCCTCAAACTCAAGAGATCCGCCTGCCTCTGCCTCCGGAGTGCTGGGATGAAAGGTGTGCGCCACCACCGCCCCTCATCTAAGGCCAGATCTCTTCAGCCCCTCCAGACAGGGTCACCAACTGGGAACCTAGTATTCGGGTGGTGGGGACTGTCGTGAAATCTCATTCAGGCCAACTGAAACTGTCCACATTCAAAGTGAGGCTTTTGTCTTACGGTCGGTATCTCCGAGAAGCCATCGCTAACACACCTACTGTGTGCTTTATGCCTCTGAGTGTATCTTGATCGCATGAAGCTGAGAGTTGAGATTTTCCATCACAGTATAGGAACCCTAGGGCAAGGCTGATTGGCCACAGAAGCCTGGCTTTGTGTTTGTGCCTAAGGAGGAAAGCCACCCACGTAGCTTTAGGACCCACTCTAGTGTTGATTCTCCAACCAGCCAGGCTTTATTGCCTGATCACCCCATTATGTAGTGGCACATAGCTGCTGTATGAGTTTCCTGCTGCTGCTATATAACAGCTTTACTGTTTTAACCAGTTAAGAACTGACTAGCTGGTCGGTATGTTAGAGGTCCGTTATATGTATCTCAGTATGATGTCAGCAGGAGAGCTGTGTTCCATCAGGAAGACCCAAGGGGGAATACGATTGTTTGAAAGATGCATGTTAGTCGGACTATGCTATGACAGGTGCCCAGAAGAGCAGAGGCCATGGACATTTAGAAGCCACCCATACTTTTTTTCTTCTCTTTGGAACCTCCTTTCTCTCACTTCAAGGTCAGAAACGGCGTCTCTGCACCCTTTTCTTCTGATCGCAACTGTCTGGGGGGAAAAGTCTCAACTGTGGTAGGTTCACACAGTTAAGCTGACCATCACTCACCTCTTCTCATTGCTGTGATAAAATACCCGACGATAGTGACTCATGGGAGGAAGGGTTTCTCTTGACTCATAGTTTAAGGGCACAGCCCATCATGGCGGCATGAGCGGGGAGGCAACTGGCCACGCTGCAACCGTAGTCAGGAGCCGCAAGTCGAATGAATGCTGGAACTCAGCTAGCTTTGTAGGCAGCCCATGGGATGAATAAATGTTTATGCCTCCGTTGAGGGCAGGCCTTTCCCATCCGAGTTAGCATGGTCTAGAGCTCCCTTACAGACACGCCCAGAGGCTTGTCTCTCTTCCCGTTGTCCTAGATCCCAACAAGTCGTCTCATCGGCCATTGAGGTGGTAATCCAGGATCATCATTTCCCCGTGGTAGCATCCTTCATCTAACCACCGTTGCAACACCTTGGCTATGTAAGGCCAAGCCTTATGCTTGCAAATGCAAAGATTCCAGAGGAAATCACATCAGTTGAGACTTTCCTTAGAAAGCTGTGATTAGAAGAAAGACTTGCTGTTCCTGACCCTGATGTTGGAAAAGGGAGGCCACAAAGAAGAAGAAGAAAATACAGTACAATTGCCTCTAAAAGTTTGGGCCCTGTTCTTTTGGGCGTTCATCATAACGTAGTCCGACAGACATGCATGTGTCAAGGTGAGGGAGTCGGAGAATGAGACCAAGGGAGGGTTGGACTCAGAGCCTGCTATATGGTAGGCAAACGTTCTGCCACTAACGTGCAACCCCAGCCCACACGGGACACTGGAAGCCATCTTCTACGTTCCCATAGTCAGAGACACAAAGGATTGGGACCCCATTTACTGACCTTTGGAGCTGACTGTTCTGGCTGGCTTCCTAGGAGTCCCTAGCTGGGAGATGATAAGACACCTTTACATCTCTTTATCAGAGAACTCCAGATTTTTTTTTTTTGGTGTCCAGCAGAGATACTCGCACCATATCAAACCGTACCACCCAGGGCATTCCAAGACAGCCGACAGCTTGCCGACTACCGTGCCTGGTAGATAATGGGAGTGGTAGGAGGAGAGTGAAAAATGAAGGCTTTGATTATCGGGCCTGAAAAGGCCCATCTAGAAATAGCCACATTACAGCCAGTTCTTTCTAACTCCAAGGTACATTTTGTAGCAGCGGCTGTAATTTGAAGGCATTTCAAGCCGCAAACTGGCTCCAGAAATGGAGCTTTGTTCTGTATCACATGTCCTGCTCACCGCACAGGCCCCACTGGGCTCAGAGGAACGTTCGAGGAAGCAGAGGCTGGTGGCGAACTCGTCTTTTGTCTGTTCCCAGCTTGGGTGGAGCGGACGGCCTGTCCAGGGTGCTAGAACAGGTGTGGTGCTCGATACGGTCTCATTTCTAAGCGTGCAGAGGAAATGGACTAATGGACCAAGAGATGGGATTACGTCGGTATTTCCCACCTGGACCCTCTGCATTCCCAGAGACATTAAAGTCCCTGGAATATTTGCTCTCCCTTTCCCCATTGCACTGAGTGCAGACAATTAAGACTTTAGCTATCCAAGGACTCTGAGTACAAGACCATCCAGGAGAGTCTTGCTGGAAGAGGGAGGATCTTTGAGAAGCATTGCTCTAACCACCTACCCCCAAGGTGCACAGCAGGGGGTGGGGCTTGAGAGCCAGATTAGCAGAGCTTCCGTGCCTTTTAAGGGCAGTCAGTAGCTGTCAATCAGGGACTGTGCCACTTGGCACTGTGATTTTTGGCCACATGGTGGTACCTCTGTATCTTCTTCCTTAACTCCAAAGAGATGGGGTGACAGGGTCACATGGCACAGGCCTTTGTATCCTGACTAAATCAAGAAGCCACCAGGGGCTGATGATATAGCTCAGCTGATAAGAGAGCTTTCCCAGGACGCACAGTTTAGACACCAAGTTTAGACTCCAAAGTCGTATAAACCAAGAGTAGTGGTTCATGCCTATGATCTCAGTGTCCTGGAAGTGAATGCTGTATGATACCACGTTGGGGGCGGGGGGTGGAGGAAGTGGGGGTAGGGGTGGGTGGGAAGGAGAAGAAAAGATAGGGAAACCAGTAAACAGATGAATGTGTCCATACCACCAAAATCCAGACGGGTGAACCAGTGAGATTTTTAGGGTTACTTACAGAGGTGGATGACTTAAAGGTAGCCACATCATTAAACCTCACCCCAGCATTGTTGACTTGTGAAAACTGGAGCTGTGGATTTCTCCCACCACTTGTAGATACTCAAGAGCCTTACAGGATCTTTTTTTTCCGCCCTGGCCATTTTGACTGCTTATATATCTTTGTAAAGGAAGGAGGCTGTGAATCTGGTAAGTTTAGGGACTTTCTGAGACTTAGGAGTGGTTTATTTTTGGGTCTTAAGGAGCTTCCCTCCAGGATGGAATATTTTAGGTCTAGAGGAAAGATTGTTACACAATCTGCAACAGGGAGATCGGGGATTCACGGCCATCACCTGTGACATAGAGTTTCAGAATGACCTGGGCTACAATGAGGCTTAGCCTCAAACCAGACAACAACAACTACAAAAAAAAAAAACAAAACGAAATGAAAAAAACAAAAAAACCCAAGCACCTGGAGAGGTTGGCATGGGCTTGGCTCTGGTACCATGATAGCAAGTCCATCACTGGGATCATCTACTTATCTTCCTTCTCTTGGGTACAGCTGTGTCTCTGGCTTTTCTAAGTAATATTTGAACAGGGCCGCTGTTCATAGCTTTCCCCTGACTCATAATTTGGTCATGTTCTCATTGCCTTGTACTTGCGGGATCAAAGAGTATTGCAAAGAAGGAAAAAGCCCCATACATGTGGGATGGGGGGATGGGGTCCTTACAGATGACACGCAAGGCCCCCTTCTAGAGGACGTCTTTGAGAAGCAGCTTCCTTTCTGTGAATGGAGGTCTGTTATCTCATCTATGAGCTTTAATCGTTTGTTAAAAAAGGCGACTCTTTGATCATGAGTGTTAAAGAGTTCAGGCAAAGTTTGAGGGGGGGTGGTCTGTCTTATTTGGGCAACGTTTGTGCTTTGTAGACCAGGGTATGCCAATATTTTAGAGGCCGTGGTGAACGTTTTCCACCCTTAGTCTGGGGAGCCGCTTGGCAGTGAGGTGCAGACAAGGAACTGTTTGTGCCTCCATAATTACGGAGCAGCAGGCTTTTTATAACTGTTGAGTGGACTTCAAAGTTAATTACCGTTTAGAAGTCTGAATAAAATAATCTTCTAAAAAGCACTGAGGGTTGGGAGAGTCTCACCGACTTACTCCTTTATTAGGCATAAGTACTAGAACTCCAAACACTTCAGGGATCAGTGAGTAGGAGGCCAGCATCCAATGGGAATGTAGCATAAGCCACATATACATGGACCTTCAAGAGTTCTGATGCACTAGAGCTTAAGAAGCATGGGCAAAATCAGTTTTAATGCAGATACTTTGCCCAATTCGTTGAACGTGCTGGAGGCTATAGCTGAAAATACGCAATTACTAATGAGCTATTCCCCCATCCCCCCCACCCGAGGAAAGTCACTGAAATCTGTTTTACTGAAACATTGAAATCTGTTTTACTAAAAACATGTTGTTCTCACTCTTTCTTTTTCTCATGCTCAAGAGTCAGGTGCACCCAAGGGCTGCCATATTGGACAACCCAAGGATCCACAGGTAGCACCAGGGAACTACCATATCGGGCAGCCAT